GGGTATCGTCGTTGCCGTCGGCGATGACGCGCTACTTACCGCGAGGATGCTCTCCCGAGAACGGACCTCTCGCATCTTGCGGTCGGTCGGGCGCCGAAAGCTAGAGCGGTGCGCCGACGTGCCTCGCGCGTCGCGGCGGAGACGCGCTCGCGGTAGCTATCATGGCTGGGCAGTATCCGAACGTGGAGGCTCGGGAGGATCGCCACGGCACAGCGACGGGGCACAGCGCGAACACGACACGGGACGGCACGGCACGGCACGGCACAGAACCGAACGACGACACACAGCGCGATGAAACGCGACGCGACGCGACGCGACCCACAACGCACACTTTCCTTCTACTCCGAGACTGCCGTGTGCGTAAGCAACGTCGAATATGCGTTCGCACAGTGCCCACACTCTCGTACGTGCCCTCTCGCGATTCGGCGACAATGAACGACAACAACGACGACAGCGACGGCGGCGGCAGCGGCGACGACAACGACGACGACGACGACGTCGGAGCCGTCGGCTCGCGTCTCCGGCGACGCGCTCTCGATTCTGCTCCGCTTCCTCGTGCGAGAGATGAAAGAGAGAGGAAGAACACAGAGAAAAATAAAAGGAGATAAAAAGAGAAAGAGAAAGAGAGGACGAAAGAGAGGCCGTGGGTATCAGTCGCGGCCGCGAGGCGAATTCATATTTTGAGGTGTCGACGCGACGTCGTGCCTGTCGTCGGGATCCTGCGCCTCCCCGCCACCCAGAACTATCAGTGAATTCTAAGCTAGGACCCTTATTGTACCTTTTTCCTCCGGGCGTCGCGACGTTCGTCGTTACAACCCGCGCGTATCCCCGATCTCGCGGAAAGTTCCGAATTCCCGCATGAAACGATCGCGGATCGTCGGGATTCCGAGATCATTCTTGACCTAGGGAGTCGGCTGAAGGGAACGGCCTAGGGATTTTTACGCGCGATAGAAAGGCGGTCCTGCGTCTCCATGACGACCAGCCGCGTATCCTGGCAGCGTTTTCCATCTCTTTTACACTTTCACGTTACCTAGCAACTAACGTCGAGATGCTAATCGACAGATTTTCCATTTGTTTCGTGGAAGAGAACCGATTATTCACGCGGTTAAAACACGCTTCTTTTTTTAACCGTTTAAAAATTTTACACTGTATTAAAATAGTAACAATTACAATAATGTATTATTTTATTTTACACTTTATTTTATTTTTTACTTTAGAGTTACAAGAATGTTTTTCTTTTATATAAACACATGAAAACAATTTTATTATTATTATTATTTTTTCTGAAAGATTAATTTTAATTTCAATTTGATTTAGTTTTTATTTTTTTTAATTTTAAGAATTAAGAAAAGAGTAAATTAAGATTATAATTTATAAAGAAAGCTGTGGTACAAATAGACATCTGCTTTTACTGATTTATTGCAGCCATTTTGAATTATGATGTTGGAATCGAGAAAACATATAATGAAAATTCTTGCAAACTACATTAAAGTAAAAATATTTTTCAACAAAATAATATTTGCATACACAAATCGCCATGGAACAGATTTATAAAATACACCGAAAACTCCTCTCTTTATAAAAATAACCATACGTATATATTGCAATTAAATTATGACTCTGTTTTTGATTAGGCGATTCATTTTTATTGCCGTTGCAAAAAAATTCATTTCACAAATTATATTATATACATTATCTTAAAATATGAGATGCAGAAATTTTCTGTTTCACCTAGAAACACGGATGAAAAATAAGACTCCGAGTCACGACAAGAATTCTTCCATCAATGTGCAAGGGCTCCGCGATCCCTTGAGCCGGACCTACTCATCGATGACAAAACCGCAGGCCGACGATGTGCCACTTCTTTCCACCTCCACCTCCACGATTATATAGCGCCTTGCGGGAGGCGCGATCGCCAGTATTGCCCGCTGCGCGTGGCTGGCTGGTAGTTTGTGGTGATTGTCACTTATTTTATCGCACGAAAGAACCACGTGGCCGTGGTGGAAGGAACGTGGTTTGCCCCCCCGCACGATGACGAAAGAAAGCGCCGGCGGAACAATCGGCGCGGAAATGATCCACGTGCCGAAGAAAAGCGGTCGTGGAAGCGTCAAGGACGGCGCGATCGACTTCATCGCCGGTTCGCTCGGTAATATCCGAATGTCCACCACGTGGTTTTTCCGTATCTTCCCGTTTATATATTCGCGCACTCACCCATGCCGAGATAACCGAGAGTTCCCGGACGAAATAAGTTTAATAACGATTAAACTCTGATCAATTTAATCATCCTTAATAGCATGATGTAGATTCTTCGAATGTTCAAGACGCCATAAAAGAGAATTGCTCATGTATTTTTAAGATATATGTTATACATAAAAAGTGTACCTACTGAAAATGCCTGAACCTTTGGAACTGTTTGAGTGTTTCACAACTTTTTTATCTAAAGAATATTTACATTTCAGTATATCTAGGTTGGATAAGTTAAACGTTTTTTTTAACTAAATTAAGTTAAAGTTAATGGTATATAAAATTAATTCAATTACATTACAAATTAATTAACTTGAATCAAAATAAGATGATAATTACATTCTATTTGCACTGAAATTTTGTAACTCAATCTAATATTAAAATAAAATCCCAGTATTAAAAAAGTGTATTAAAAAAGAAAAAGTTGGATATATTCAGTATAATTATTTGTACAAAAAGAATGTAATATGAAAAAATGTAATCTACTTTTGAAAATCTTCATTTTCAGAATCAATACAATAATCAATACATATATATCAATACATATATATATATATACATAAATATCAATACATATAATAATTAAGTTAACTGATAGAATAGCTGTAAAGTTTCTAACTGCATGATATATTGTTCTTTTATTCAATTTCGGAATAATTTCGATCAAGTTATAATTAATTTGGACGATTATTTTTTAAATTTATTATCATTCTCTTAATTCCTCGATAAAATTAATTCTTAATCGTTTGATAAACAACAGGAAAAACTTGGAACAACGGATTACGTTATTGAAAATTTTTCTACAATTTTCCTTTGAATTAATTACTGATTAAATCACGTTTTAATCCCAGTCTCGATTTAATCTTAATCTCTTTGTCTATGTATTAAATAATCGATTACTTTATATTAAAAAATTAATATTGATTGATAAATTAATCAATATTTAATTGAAATTATTTCTATTTTTTTCATACATTAACAAGAAATCGATTATCCAAACATAAACAAAATAATAATCCAAAAGAAAGTGAAGAAAGTGAGAAGTTAGGTTAATTGGAGTTTTGTCGAAATTACGAGCATACAAAATTTTCAGACAGCATACAGAATTTTCAATTTGTAATAATTATTAATTATTCTAAAATAAACAATAAGTAAAAAAATAATAAAATCGCAACGATCTTAAAAAAAAGAAAAAAAAATCACCTGTAGAAATAAAACGCGTGCGAAACGTGAAGATTGACTAAATTTTGTTATGGTATAGTATGCATTTTTTACATACGTGCATTTTTATATACGTAACACGAACTATAGATAAATATGTACATTGAAAGATGATCATTGGAAGTACAAAAGTATCTTTGCAACTTTAAAAAGTTGTTTCAAATCTTGTAAAAAATTTCTTAATTTTTTAAAAATTTAAAAATTAAAAATTTTTTAAAAATTTCTTAATTTTCTCTGAAATTTTGAACAAGTAAATTTGAAAAATCCGAAAATCTTTAAGAAATTTGTTTTAAATAGTTTTTCAAAAATTAGTTTTTTTTTAAACAAAATTTCTTTGAATCTTGATAAATTTTAATGAGATTCTTTGATTTTTTAAGAATAAAGAGAATTTCTGAAATTACAAGTTCTTTCAGAAAATAAACATCTCTTAAAAGAAAATTTTTCTTAGGAGAAAGCATCTATTTGAAATTTGTCAAATTAATATTTTTAATATTAATTAATAAAAATTAACTTAGATTATTATTGATGTATCTGAAATAAATTCGATTGCACTCTTTGATCTGCTGCAGTTAATGACATTGTTTGCCAAATTTATCGCTATTTATCATAAAACTATATTTTAATATATTTAGATAAATAATATATAAACATTTATCTGTAATAAATTCGATGAGAAGATAACGTTAGAATTATCAGTTCCGTTATCTCTACGTAAATAGCAGATTGATAAACCACTCAACTTTTATTCCGAATCGCTTTAACTGGCACGAGATCGTATTCCTATGTTTCAAGACTGAAAAGCGATGATATACTTTACGTTATCAAGAACATTACATATCTATTTTTGCATTGCAATAAGCTATTTACAAACTATAAGCAATTTCTCCAATATACGAATATACAGTTTATATTTTTCATCCTCTTCGTCAATATTATAAAAAATGCTCACTTGCTGATAAACTAATTAAAATAGATGAAATTTTGTAAGAAATGAATATTATAACAATAATTATCTATAATATTTAACAAACTTAGAATTTGTATCAAGATGAAAATCCTTATTCTATTGACAATTAATTAAACAATTCTTCTCGGATATTTTTTTCACACATTCGACATCCGCTGAGTAAACGCATTGAAAAATATTATAACAAGTATCATTAAGCTACTTAATTACTCAATCACAATTTTTACGAAAATATCAGATATTTTATTTGACAATGTTTCTGTTTTCATGCACAAACAAGATTATGCCATTTTTATTTAACAGGTGGTGTAGCTCTTGTTTATGTAGGCCAACCACTAGACACGGTAAAGGTAAAGATGCAGACCTTTCCATCCATGTATAAAAGCATGGTGAATTGTTTTCTGCGTACGTTGAAGACAGACGGTATCACGAGGGGTTTATATGCCGGAACGATTCCGGCAGTCGTCGCCAATGTAGCCGAAAACTCAGTACTGTTCGCAGCATATGGTGGATGTCAAAAGGCAATCGCTCATTTATCAGGTAAATCGCGAATGGTATAATCCGTGATTTTGTAAAGTACTGCTAAAGAAGGTTTCTATTACTGATTTCTAATAGATCTAACATAATATGTATATAACAAAAATTTTAATTCAATGGTTAATATTCCTTTTTTACAGGTGTACAAAACGTGAAAGACTTGAGTTCCTTCAGCAACGCTTGGGCCGGCTTTTTTGCCGCATTCTTCTCTTCGTTGACGCTGTGTCCAACGGAATTGATAAAGTGCAAGCTGCAAGCGATGATGGAAGTCGAACAAGCTGCCGGGAACAAATCGAGGGTGAATAGTGTCCGATGATGGCAGCTCTTTAATACATCGTTTTAAATATTTCGATGGTAATTTGTGAATGATACCATCGTTATTTCTCAGAGACCTCGCGTAGGACCGTGGAGTTTGACGAGGCAGATTCTTAGGGAGCAAGGTGTAAGAGGCCTGTTTACAGGTCTCTCATCGACGATAGCCCGTGAAATGCCAGGCTATTTCTTCTTCTTTGGTGGTTACGAGGCCACGAGGAAATTGTTGGCCGCAAAGGGTCAAAATAGGGATGATATCGGGTGGCAAAAGACGATGGTGGCCGGTGCAGTCGGTGGCGCGTTGCTTTGGCTAGCAATATTTCCAGCCGATGTCGTTAAGAGTAGAATACAGGTATGTTTTCGGCACTAAAAAGATGCATATCATAATAAAGCTGTAGCGCAAAGAAATGTTTCTCAATATTTCTCATCTGTTTTACTCAGGTGCAAAACATAAAAACGCCTGCCTTGATAGTTTTCAAGGATATCGCACGACAAGAAGGTATCGGTGCACTGTACAATGGATTAACGCCAACTTTGATAAGAACAATACCGGCGACTGCAACACTGTTCGTTACCGTTGAATATACAAAGAAATTTATGTACAATTATTTTAAAACG